GAGTTGCTGAAGATATGCCTCAGAAGTAGAAAGTACGTGCTATTCTTCCTAAGGACCTGGATTAATTTCCTAGCACCTGCAGAGTAGCTCACAACCATCAAACCTCCCATTCCAGGGGGCCCAACACTCCCTTCCAGCCTCCATGAGCATTGGGCACACACTTATATACATTCAGCAAAACACACACACACACAAAGTAAAAACAAATCTAGAAACAAACGAAAAGAGAGGAAAAAAGTTGAGTGAGCCTTCATCTTCATTGCTAGTCCTGTGTGACTCTGCTTCCCAGATCCACCATAACCCTTGTTCTCACACAGCCACTTGTGAGTTGAGGTCTGTCTTTCTAGTCCATGTCTTTTTAAAATATATTCATTTATTTATGGTGTGGGAAATTGAACTCAAAGCCTCATACCCAGTTAACAGATACTTTACCAGTGGGCCTCACCCTCAGTCCTGGGTCAGTTTAGATGATTGTTTTCTTTTGTTCTTGAGAGCTCCATACATGAATATTATGTTTACATCATTTTCATCTCCTTTACCCCTTCCAATTCCTTGCCCCCCACTGTCAAATTCATGACCGTGTGTGTGTGTGTGTGTGTGTGTGTGTGTGTGTGTGTGTAAAACCAGCTGGCTCTTAGTGTTGCCATCTGTATATGTATTTAATTTAGGGCTGACTACTTGGGATTGGATAATCTATCAAGGAACTTCTCTCTGGAGAACACTGATTCTTCCCCTCCCAGAAGCCATTGTCTGCAGCTCTTCATCTGTGGGTAGAACCTTGTGAGGTTTTCCCCATCCACATTTGTATATCAACTTGGTTGTCATTGTATAGGTCTTATTTAGTCAACCATATTGTTTATATTTAATGGTTGTAGCCTCCCTGTCATATGTCGTAGACACTATTCAAAGCAGATGTCCTAGGCCTCTTGCTCTTATAGCCTTTTCTATCTCCCCTTTCTATGATGTTCCCTGAGCCTTAGATGTAGGCATTGTGTTGTGGATGTTTCCGTTGAAACTGGGCATCTCAAAATCAGTTGTTCTCGGTTTTATGACTTATTGTGGATAGCTGTAATTGTCTCTATATGTCACTAAAAGAAGCTTTGTTGATGATGGGGGGAAGCTACATTTGTCCATGAGTATCAGGATTAGTATTTAGGATACAGTTGGGAATTATACTGGTTTAAAAAAGTGGCAGGGTTTTTTGTTTTTTTGTTTTTTTGTTTTTGTAGTAGGTTCTCCTCTAGGGTTCATGACCTCACCAGCCATGAGTAGTTGGCTGAGTTTATAGTACAGGTATAGAATAGAATTCCCTACTATTGAGCAAGCTTTAAGTCTAATAAAATGGCTATTAGTTACTCTAGATATATAAGTGCAACTCTTGTACCTTTAGGGGCATCTTGTCAATGCTAGTCATTGTTGTAATTCATAAACTTTACAGCTTGTGGGACACTAAGTCAGTGTTTAATGCAAAGTAGGATCACAGAACTTAATTCACATAGCACTGTATAGCCTTTTTCATATACTTCTCCACTTATTAATACATTTGTATTTACTTTGTGTGCATGCATGTGTGTATGTGTGTACATATACATGCCTTAGTACATTGCAGGAGTGGGTTCTCTCCGACATACACTTCCTGGGGCTCAAATTTATGTCATCAGTTTCAGCAGCAGACGTCTTTACCCATTGAGCCACATACTTGTTCTTTAGATAAGATTTGATGCATGTAAGTGAACGTACTTGCCACTCCATGATTAGATTATCAGCCATTGCTCCTAAGATCACCACACACGTAAGGAAGGAGTGTGGTGATTTGAAGGAGAATGTCCCCACAGGCTCGTGTAAACAAATACTCCTCCTCAGATGGTGGGACTATTTAGAAGGATTAGGAGGTTCTACCTCTTACTGTGGAACTCTCAGCTACTTCTCCTGTGTCATGGCTGCCGCCATGCTCCCTGCCATGAGGATCATGAACTCAAGTCCCCTGGGCCCCCAATTAAATGCTTTTTTTTTTTAATGTTGCCTTGGTCATAGTGTTTTAATCACAACAATAGAAAGGTACCTAAGACGTAGAAGACCAAGAAACCACTCCTCTGAACTCTTTCCTTGTTCAGTTTCTTGTTTTACACCATAGTTGTGTGGGCAGTGTACTCTCTTTCTTGCTAGATTGACTTGTGCTGCCTGTCCAGGCTTTTGAACTTGAGGGTCTTCTGCTGATGTACAGGGTCTCACTGCCAGATGGCTTTTCCTCTAGGTAAGTTCATTTGTCTCTGGTTAGGACAGAGGTGCTGCCAGTGTTGCTATCGCATTGACCTCTGATGCACATACACCACCATGTCTGTAGGGTTTGAGTGCTGATGCTCTGCTCTGTTGCAGGCATATGTTTGGTTGAACTAAAGTCTGCATTCTTTATTAATATGTGTTTTTTTATCTTTAATTGAAATGGCCATTATATACAGAACAAGGCACAGTGTGACACCAATATAGATATGTGTAGTGATCAGAGCAGTAAGTGGTATATCCTTTACCTCCGTCATTAGCTGTTTCTTTGTGTTTGGAACATTAGAAGAAAACGTTGAAATATTTAATGAATTCTTCCCAACTATTCCATAGTTGTCCTCTTGTGATACCATCCACTAAAACTGATTCCTGTTATTTAATTGTGCTCCTGAAAGATGTTATCCAGAAAAGCTTTCTCCTGTGTCCTTGCCTTCTCAAATGAAGAAGTCTGCCAAGAGACAAGGACAGTTTGAATGGAGGTGTACTTAGCAAAGCAATAGCGTGCTCCGGGGAGCAATTGGAGTGGGCTGACACAAGGAGTAGCATCATTCCATGCTGTGCATTTTAAGACAGTTTTGTGACCTTTAAATGGGTGGCAGATTCATGGTCTAAGGTGACTTTTTCTTTCCCAAATCAGGATGGATGACTTCTCTCTTTTGAGGTCTTTCTGTTGGTGGTCCTCTTTAAAAGACTATGGGTGGAGAAGAGAGGGAGAGAGTCTAAAACACAATGCAAATAATAATAATGGAGTCACAGTCTCTTGAGGGCATCCGTGGCAACTAGGGAAGTGCCCTAGTTTGATGACCATAACTGCAGCATCAAGAATGTCTAGCCACAAAGGATGACACAGCTGCCAAGATACAGCTGCAGTTTTTTGTTGTTGTTGTTGTTTTGTTTTGTTTTGTTTTTGTTTTTTGGCTCCTTTCTGTCTCTCTTTGCTCAACTAGGAAACACAGTTCTGGAGATAGTGCTTAATTTCCTAGGCTCCCTCACATTCAGCCCCTTATCAACCTGGCTCACACTCACTAACCAACCTGTCTTCACACTTGGCTCTCAAAGCCACTGTTCTATTCTCTATTTCTATGAGATGAGTGTTCTAGCTAGCACATATAAGAGAGAACACACAGCATTTGCTGTTCGGTACTTGCCTTTGCTGAGCGCAGCACCTTCCAGGTCCATCCATGGTGCTGTGAAGTACAGAATTTCCCTCCTTCTTTTCTTTGTTTCTGAAGACCAGGGTGCTGTTCTCCAGAATATTTGAATACTTATCTGCAATGTAGGAACCAGATGTTCCCAAGTTCTCATCACCATGAAGTTTGTCCATTAAGCATTTGTTTGCCAATTGAATTATTTCTCAATTTTGATGAAACTAGGCATTTTAATTTTATTCTTTAGCAATGTCTATTGTTGTCTTCCTATTGATTCATAAAAATTTATGTTTGGGCCCTAAGATTTAGTCAGTTTTACATGATATAAATATTATTTCTTAGTTTATAAATATGAACTGTCACTAAAACTCTAAAGATTTTATTTCTGCATGGAACCCAAGGAAGGGGATGGGAGAAACAAGTTGAAGGGAGAAAGGGGAAAGAGAGAAGGAGGGAGGGGAGGAAGGGGAAGGAGAATTGGAGAAAGTCTCTTTCTTGTAACCTGTGAGAGTAACTTTTCTACTTTGATCTGTGAGGTGAATTACATTTAAAATGTTCATCACTATATAATCTCATGTTGGTTATGGTCAATGTTTATTTCAGTGACTTTGGAGTACATTCTTTCCTAAGCATATGAAGAATTTATTATAAATAATAACCTGATAACACAGCAACAACCCTGGAAAACCTTTTGGGTCAATTTTGTGTTTCCCCCGCTCCTCATGAGCATAAGAAACAGTGTCTCTAAGATCAGGTCCAGGGCACTGGAAACACTGAACCCTGGACCATTGAGCTACATCCCCAGCTCCTGGAAAGCTGAATTCTACTCATTCTGTGGCTACTCAGTGGCAAGAAGTAACATCATTCACTTTTATATGAGACTTGATTCTCCGTAGTGAATTTGTCAGAGACACAGGTTTATGTTAGCCATTTGGTGTCATGTGACCTGCTCAGCTGTTAGTCTATCATTGTCGACAAATGAGCACTTAGTAGCAAATTCTACTTCTCATGGAATTTTTATTCTAGGGAGGAACAGAGACAATGTTATGGAATACAGTCGTGAAATAAAGTGTCACCAGGAGACAGTGGGAGGAGGAAGAGGCGCTGTTTTGGTGTGTTGTAGGGATAGGTCTTCTGAATGTGGCTGCTGCCTGGTATCATGATGTGGTCGGTGTTTTGAGTGCTTAGTGGAGGGTTAGCCAGCTGTTCTCTGTTAGCCTTTCTTACTTGGAAATGTTGTGTCATGGGCCCCCAGGGCTATGCCACCCTTCTCAAGACTTCACAGATAATTTCCTATTTATGCAAGGCTGGTGTCTTTGGAAATTTTTTCCATGGTGTCTGGCTTGTGAGCAGTACAGCAGAACCTTCAGCTCGGTCGCACTAAGTAATATCAGCATGTTCAGTTTATAGAAGAAAGATGTTGCGAGAATGATATGATAGATGATAAAATTAGGCTATAAACTTTGCTGTGTTTTATGGAATTACTTAATTTATTGTTACCATGAATGTATATTTTTAATTCCAAACTTTATGTAATTTCTAAGCACATTTCATTTGTGTGTCTTGTTTCAGTGCTGGACCCAAAGGAGACAACATTTATGAATGGAGGTCAACTATATTGGGACCCCCAGGATCTGTCTATGAAGGAGGGGTGTTCTTTCTTGACATTACCTTTTCACCAGACTATCCGTTTAAACCCCCTAAGGTCAGTATGACGTATTCATCTATTTTCAGCAGTCTGTGTTGTGTTTGTGCATACTAAGCGGACAGATGGATGTACGTGGTGTGTATCTGCTCTGTTGGGATGGGCCGCCTCCCAGGACTCATCATGCTTAGAAGGAAACAGAATGTGAGACGTTCCTCATTGTTCCTCTACCTCACTGTTCACTTGTTTCATTACTCTTTCTCGCTATCGCTTTTCAGTAGTGTATAAGTTAATACTACAGAAAATTCCCTGCTTTATTGGGTAAAATGGGAAAGTGGGATTGGACCCGTGTCAGGCTAGAAGCCAGACGACAGGCAGAGGCCTGTTTACCACATCTGCACACCCTGCTGCCTGCCCAGCTCAGCTGCTCACATGAGACCCAGAGAAACTGCAGTGATATCAAGAAAATTCATTTGGGAATATTTTGAGGGCTGGGAGCATAACTTGGTGAAATCCTGGGTTCAACCCCTAATGCCAAAATATGTATGTATTGTGTATGTGTATATATGTGTGTGTGAATGTGTATAATATGTGTGTGTATATTAATAATAGTCCAATAATGAAACATAATTTTTCAAGAGTACAGTCAGTCAGAACAGAGGACTTTCTTTTGTTAAGATAAGGTGGCATGCTTTAAGATAGATATCTTCTCATTCCTCTCCCCTGCCCCTGGCCATTAGCACCTACCCTCCATTCTGGTGGAGGAAAGCCCCTGAGTTCAGTGGCTGTGTCTGTTAGTCACCAGGAAAAGTCTCATCTGCCACTGAGTTGTCTTCTGTGCACAAAGAAACAGGCATCTGCATTGTGTTGGCCTTTGCCACATTTTTTCATGGTTCACCCACCTCTTCCTTCTTTTTTCTTGGCTTTTTTCCTTCCATTCCATTGATGCTCAGAGAGCATTTTGATGCCAAAAAAAAAAAAAAAAAAAAAAAAAAAAAAAAAATGTAACAACTCCAGTAACTTGTCAGCACTGTGCAGCAAACAAATCAGGGTGTCAGGGCTTGGGCTGGGAAGTCAATCCCAAACCTTTGTGCCTTAGCACATTACACAGTATGCTTATGCAAGCCTGGAGCACTGCCAGTGCCACAGAGGCCACCTAAGCCTTGCATTTGCTAGGTTTCCATAGCAAAGACACAGTGCGTGTAGTGGGTACTTTCTCCCTTGGCTGGATGAGAACCATTTATTCTTCCACTACTTTGGACTAGCTTGTAAGTCACCTGGAGTGCCTGCTGTCCTTGTAGGGGCATGAGGCCCTTCCTCTGGCATCCTCGAATGTTGGGGTACAGGGTGAAGAAGAGAGACAATGTAGTCAGGGACTTGTACTGCCCATAAACCTGTTGTGACCTGTTCAGGGAAGTAAGCATCTTAGTTTTCCCATCCACCTCTGTAACAGCATTTTTAGATTAGGCAAAGCTAAAAGTAAGAAGTTTTAAATTGGGTGAAAGAATTTAGTGTTTGAAGAGGCCTTGATGCAATAGGAGGATAAGCCAAAAATGTTGATAGAAGAGTCAGGAGAGATAACTCAGTAATTAAGAGCTGTGCCTGCTGTTCCAGAGGTTCTAGGTTCAATTCCCAGAACCCACATGGTGCTAACAGTTGTCTAAAATTCCAGTTTCAGGGGATCCAGCATGCTCTTGGCCTCCATGTGCTGCCTGTATGTGGTGCACAGACATACATGCAGACAAAATACCCATGCACATAAAATAAAAATACAACTATAGAGATGGAATGTGGAATGTGCCATGTCTGCAAATCAGAAAAAAAAAAGTTATGATCAATCAAGATAGGCGATAGTTCCTTTATAAGCCTATAGATAGAATTTTTTGGCTGGGAAACTACGGTTCTTGTACCTTTAGGGAGACATTTTTAGGAGTGTCCTAACTGAGCTTTTCACTGTGGGAACGTCTGTTAACCTTTGGAATAGCGAGGGTGGGGGTTTGTGGGCATTCTTCGTCAGCTGACTTGGTTCTCTGGTAAGAGGTGTGTCTTAACCTTAGTGGGGTGCCGTCCGAGTAGATGCAGGAACTCAGGTGAGACTTGGTTTCCCAGCATCATAGCATCAGCAATCTTCAGACCATATATTGCACTGCACTACACTGCACTGCCCTGAATGGTTTGCTGGTGAGTACCCAGCATGAAAGGAATGTGGGACAGACAGGCATGCCAGGACCTCAGTGTGGTCCAGCTCACACTATACCCTGGATGGCTGAATGGGAAAGAAGGAGAAACATGAAGCTGTTGGCTACAGGGATATAGATGTCTGTTCTTCATGAGAAAACCCTGACCCAGTTTTAAACAGTCCACTCTGACTGGCTCCACTTCCAAGACACTGGCTTCTCTTTGTCCCAAGTGCCCAAAGAAAGCTGCGTTACACAGAATCCCTCCACTGACTGAACTGGAATGGACAATCTGTAAGGGAAAAGTTGACTTTGGCAGCTGAAACCACAATTTAAATGTTCATTTCCCAGAATCATATAGGAAATTTGAAAAGGAAAATGTCACCTTCTAAGTTAGCAGTTTTAAAGCTGGATGCTGAAGGAAGATCCCCTCAAGGAGCCAGCAGTCAGCACAGATGAGGCTTTGTTGCACCTTTAAGTGGTGTGCTCATGTTCAGGCCTCCCCAGCCCCGTCCTCCGTGCCCTCTGCCTCTTCCCTGCCTCTCTCGCCTGGTGCTCCTTTTCTGCCCGATGCCGTTTGCTTCCACTCTGAAAACTGAAGATACCCATGCCAAAAATATTAGTCAAAGCACCACATGCATTTGTTATTGTTGTCACTGCTGCCACAATCTCTATTTCAACCCTTCAGTGAGAAGCGTAACTGAAGGCAGAACTGGCTGCAGCTTGAAAGTCTAGGAGGGATTGTAGCATCTTGTCCTGCACAGGAACTTTGTGAGAGTAGGGAGGGCTGTGTGAGCTTGAAAACACCACATTCCAGCACCTAGTTTTTCAAAATCAGATCATTTACTCACCAATAACATTTCTCTGTTATGGTGCCTGTTGAATGGGCCTCTGTCTAGGAACAGTATATTATGACCAGAAAGGAAACTATAAGTAAACTGGTGGTATGTCTAAGTGGGTTTTAGTACAGAGAAATATTTTAGTGTTAGATTTCAGATATCTCTTTATGTATGAACTAGAAGTAGCTTTGTCTTTTGCTGAGGATTGTATTTCCTTATTCAGATTTCAGGTATTTGTGTTCTCAATATCTGTGCTTGTGTTTTAAATTTTTAAATTTGCATATTTTTACAGAATAAAGTGTAATGGTAACAAGCAAAAGGAAAAAAAAAATGCCTACAACTTAATCCTCAAAACAGTCTACTCACATAGTTTACATAGTTTCAGCATATCCCTTTGAAGATTTTTGTCCCTTTTTTTTTTCATATATGTCCATGTTGATATATCATGCTGACACATATGCACAACTTCTATCAAAACAGTCCCTTATCCTCCATGGCTTCATAATTATTGTATTCTCTCCTGGCGCCACATATTTCCAATGAACATGTCACTGTATTACAATTATAGAGCCTACATAATACTCCATTGTATAAATGCTCCAAAATAGAATTGGTCTCCTGTGGCTGAACACTTAGGCTGCTGTCACTACTCGTATTATAATCAGTGATGTGGTGGCATCCTGATAATTAGCATACTTTGTACTCTCGTACATTTATTCCCTGAGGCTAAATTTGTTGACATGAAATTCTGGGTAGATAAGCTTGCACAGTTGTAGAGTTTTTGATAAAGGTTGACAAATTTACCCTGCAGAAAAGCTGAAAGTTCCCATCATGACCCTCACCATGTGACAACGGGAAAGAATTTGCCTGTTCTGCTCTAGGGTTTTTTGGTTTTTGTTTTGTTTTGTGTTTTTAATCTCTAACAGTCTGTGATATGAAAACTGACATCCCCCAGTTGTAACCAACACTTACTTGACGCCAGTAAGAAGTGGAATGGTTTGCATTTTCACATGTCCTGCTCAACATTTATCCCTTTGGTAGAAGATGTCAGAGTACTTTTTTTTTTTTTTTTTGAAAGTCCAACTCCACATAAAGCCAACAGGAAATGTAATAACAGACGATGTTATATTCTTGTACATACACATGTCCTTAAAAAGAAAACAAGACCCTTTGACAGTATCATGACATTCTGTCTGATGTCTTATGTTCCAGAGACTGTAATAACATACATCTTAATTAAAGGGGGAGGCTAGGTAACAGGTCCTGTGTTTGTAGAAGAGAAATGTGTAGCTTTCTCTGCTTTCCCAGGGATCTGTGAATTTCATACAAGATGAGTGAATTTTCAGGTGCATGGCAATTAAGTATGTTTGTTATTTTTACTTGTTCAGACAGCCTGTGCACCTAAAAGGCATGCTGTGTCTATTATATTCACACCCATTACTAGAAAGTATCTTTATAGGCAACAGTATATACCAGTGGACATTCTCCAAAATGTGATGGTAAAGTGTGTGCCTAGAGTATTTTTAAACAATATTAAAATTACATATATACGGAAATATTTATATATGCAAAATTAAGAAAAATATTAAGGTGTCTGTGAGATAACTTGTCACCAAGTGTACAACCTGAATGTGATCCCTGGGACCCACATAGTAGAAGGAAAGAAACATGTTACCAGTGTTTTTTCCGCCGATCTGGTCCCACCGCCACGCCAGCCCCAATTAACACACAGAGACTCTGTATTTGATATAATGCTGTTGGTGAGGTACTAATTTCTTATCAGCTAGCTCTATCTTAATGATTAATCCATTTCTATTAATCTAAATATTTCCATGTGGTCTCATCTTACCGGAGAGAGGGGCCGGCGTTCTGCTCTCTCTAGTCTCTCCATGTTGACTCCTCCCTACTACTTCCTCGAATCCTCCTTGTCTCCTAGTCCCGCCTATCTTGCTTTCCTATTGGCCAACAGTGCTTTATTCATTAACCAGTATGAGAAACATATTTACAGAATGACATCTCCCATCAGAAACAACTCCTGCAAGTT